AAAATACCAGAAATGTCATTAACCTTAAGTGATAACCAATTTTAACCAATTCTTTATGTCAGACCAAAATCTTTTGTACACAGCACATGAGAAAACTTTATTTTTTTTTAAGAAATTCTGCAACTGGGTAAACCTTATGAATTATTTTGTTTCTTTGGCTTTAGGGGAAATAGGCCATTTAATACATTTTGAATGTGCTTTTTCCATGATAGACAGAAGTTTGCATATCAGTAACTTGTGCATACAACCCTTTATTATAATCATAAAACACTTTTGATTTTAGAACCGCACAAATACATTTGTTATTACACTTGTTATCCTTTAAGTTACAATCATTAATCACTAAATTTGGCAACACAAAACATTTGAGTATATTACAGTATTTTTGGATGAACTGAATCAGTGATAGAGGGATTACTTTGCAGGTCTTTCTGATCTCTCTATGAGTACAATTTAAATTATATTTATTCATAAAGGCCAAATAATCCAGAAGGTTACCATTATAATCTAATAAAGCCTTTACAAACAAAATGCCTTCCTCATACGAATCCTTCTTAAATAGATGTCCTATTAATTGTAGACAAGTGGAAATGTGAAGGGGGCAATATTTATGTGAGTGACATTAGATGACATGGGTAAGCCTATTTACTAATGTATAGGAAAATAAACAAAGAAATATACACAAATATAATCTATATCAAGCATGAAATAATTTGCGTTTACACTCCGGTGCAGTAGGTGGCAGTAATGCACTTACAACCTGGTATCACACACACTATTGTACACCAAGCAGAGAGAAGAGGAGGACCTAGCGTTTGTTTGTAATCTGACAGATTTTTAGTTTCTGATCGATGGGATAGTTAATGCTTCATGTCAGACCTGTGTGCGAGGTAAGATATTTGCCCTTTAGTGTCCGTATAGCACTTAACTACAGCTCAGATAATGTAGAATAACGCATTTGAAGTATCTTTGGATTGTCGCCATGGCTATCTGATGCTATCTAAAGCTGGATTGTTTATTGTTAACCGCGGTTTTTATCAGGCTAACATTAAATTAATGTTAAAGCTAAGATAGCTACATGTTAAACTAAAGACCCCCAACACGTTGTTTACCGGACTGAACTTTCACTGTCTCAATAAAATAATAACTCACGGTAGCTTCGTAATGCAATAATAGCTACATGGTTGTACATACTTGGATAATTCCTCATTTTATTTTTAAATTGTGAATCTCTCAATTATCTTCGAGTCAAATATCTAGTCTAGACAGAGTTATTGAAACACGATTCACTGGATATTATATCAAATAAAGTGAAAAAGGTAAAAGAAGAGCGAAACAACCCCCAACCATGCTGAGCGTTACCGAGTAAATATGACACAGTTAACCTCCGGCAGTGCACGGGATTAGGATTAGTAGTGGTGTATTGTTTCTTTAAGTAAAAGAGACAAAGGGATACCACATTCTTCACGTTTATTTTTCAAAGCATATCTATTTTTTTCCAGATGTAAGATATTTAACTTATTCCCTGACACAACATTGGGTTGCATGGTCTCTAAGGAAACACTCCTGGATCGGGACAATAGGCTTATTTGCAGCCTCTTTACTAAAATCTGACATTTATCATCATTCAAATAGCTGAGCAGAAGATATGATGATCTTTTATTTACGTCTTATTATGTTTATGAACCCAGGGATGGATGGATGGATGGATCAGACTTTAGAAGCACTGCATGGTAACGGTGACCATGACGACAACAATGTCACCTCCTGGGTGTCAGTGTGTCCCAGAGGCCTCTGGAAAGTCCAGCAAGAGCGAACAGGCATGGAGAGTCAACAGACTGTTTCCACTTCTGGAGATGATGCACGTATGACGATTTTCTTCCTCAGTTTACTGTAAATGATCCATATTTTAAAAAATAGAAATGTATTAGTGTCCAGCAATCCAGCTAACATCATGTGTATTTGTCTGTTCTCTTCTAGCATGTGCATCCATTTCCCGTCCAAGGATGGGTTCACTGTGTCGAGTGCGAGTGCGACTCAAAGCTGACGGGGATGTAGCAGAGAGTTTAGTATCTGAAAATGGAATTGAGAAGCTGTCGGTCACTGAGTTTACGGACTCAGTGGCACAGGCCTTTCCAAGGTGTCAGGACTCTGTGCTGCAGGTCCCACTGGGCGACTGGACAACGCTGAGGCTAGGGGAGGGTCAGTGCGATATCACAGAAGCGTGTGTGGAGGGGATGAGAGCGGGAGAGAAATGTGAGGTAAGAGTGAAGAGAGGACTGGGAAATAATCCAGTGTTATTATATGTTTTAATTTTTTTATCTCTATGCAAATTTTAAGTAAAACTTGTTCGACATATGTGTAGAGTTTATAATATTTTCAGTATCCTGACATATAGGTTTTGAGGCACTGGTGCTTTATTTCTGAATAGTGCTTGGGGTGTATGATCTATAAAGTTGAAGACCTTTTAATGACATGGTCGTAACAAATATTTTAGTAAAGTGTGACACAAAGGGTACTTTGAGATTGGATATGTCACTTGAATTTCTATCTTAGTACACAGACTAATTATTATGTTTGGCTCCTCAGATTCTGATTTCTCCGATTGGAAATGGACCAGATGTCTCAGTTTCCAATCCTACTGAGGAAAACCTGCCTTTGTGTGCCACAGTTGAACTCAAAGCTTTCACACCAGGCAAGGAATCTTGGCAGGTGTCTCCTGCTGAGAAGTGGGAGTGGGTGAAGTCACACAAAGAGAGGGGTGGAGTGAGATTCAGGAGTGGGGATGTGTGGGGAGCAGCAGACAGCTACAGTCGAGCTCTCAAACTTCTCATCACTCTCTACGGTCACATTAGAGAGGTGAAGAAACAGGGACAAGAGCAAGCGGATGAGCAGAAAGACACAAACACTGGTGATGAAACACAACACCTTCCTTCAGCTAATGAATTCAAAACCACCAAAGCTGAACTCCACTCAAACCTGTCCTTGTGCCAGCTCAAACTGAACCAGCCAGAGCGGGCTAAGGCCAGCGCAGCGAAAGCTACTCAGCTGGAACCGGGTGGGACTAAAGCCTGGTACCGGCTGGGTCAAGCCTGCCAGATGGTGAATGAGCTGCAAGAGGCCAGGCAAGCGTTTAGGAAACTGCTGGAGATACAGCCAGAATCGCCTGCTGCTTTGAAGGCTCTCAAGAATATAGCAAGTAGAGAGAAAGAGACAAATGCACAGTTGGGACTTAGACTCAGCAAAATGTTTAGCTAAAGATGAAATATTATCAGCTTAGTATCAGATGTTCTGTAAAACGGTATGTTTCTTCTTGTGTTTCATCATTAAATGGAAGTGCATCTACAGCCACTGACTCAGCTCAAAAGTAAAGCCAATAATCTGTGAATGCCTGTGTGTGACAGTCCTGAATGTAGTAAGTAAAAATGAGAGAAACTTATTTTGGAGCAGTTAACGTACTCATCCAGGAGTGATGTGTGCATGACATCGTTCTGTGTGTGCATAACATGAAATAAGCCCAAAATACAAATTTAGTTTTTTCAGTCGACCACAAGGTGTCGTGCTTTGTCAGTCAATGCAATGTGGTCGGGGATACATATATACTGGTGTACAACCGTGCTGAGTACTCAAAATGCCGAAACCCGGGATCGAACCAGGGACCTTTAGATCTTCAGTCTAACGCTCTCCCAACTGAGCTATTTCGGCGTGGTAGCGATAAAACCGTATCGCCTTTTTTTTGAAAAAGAAAAAATTGTGGAACTCTAGTTACAACCCTGGTTATACAAAATATTTATGTATATACTCAAAGAAAAATATTATTATATATTAGAATAATTCCATGTTACATGTGGTTCAGAAACATGCATATAAACCCTACCTGGTTATAAAAAATGTCATGTATATACTATATACTATGCATATAAACCCAACATGGTCTTTACACCCATTGTTATCTGTTGTGCATTTGTTTGTTTATAACTTTATTTAGGTTTTTAGTCTAGGTTAAAATGGTGCTCTAAGTTGATTTGAAAAGTCTGCATTGCATTACCATTCAAAGATACATTTTAAGATTACTGTTAGTGTCAGTGGTTACAAGGTGGGTTTCTTTACCACTATAATGAGATATTCAAAAATGGAAGATACTGTGCCGTAGTAGGAAGTTGTCAGGAACAATGCGAAGTACACTTTGAAGCATATGGTGCAAAAGCACATATGCAGTGGTAATTGAATTATAAAGTAATATGTTGTATATTACCTCTAATAATACCGCGTTATGTAATAATCTGCCGCGTTTTCTAATAAACAGCATGTACGCAATATGTAATACATTTCCCCGCGCTTTGTAATAAACTATTACCTAATTTGGCGATTATTACAAAATGCTGGAGTTATTTTGTTTATGAAAATGGACAGCCGCAATGTCGCCTCGCCTTCTTTGGTGTTAAAGATGATTCTGAATAGTCTAAATAGCCACATAAAAGCAGTAACAGGACAGGGACATAACGCTTTTATTTTAAGCGGGTTTGACTACTGCAATGGTCTTGGCTCCCCAAAAAGACCATCAAAAAGCTTAATCTTCAAAATGCTGTTTATGAAATAAAAATGCAACTCCCACATTTTGCAATAGCCACCACTATATGCAATAATGGAATACGAAATGTGGGAATATTTATTACACATGGGGCTCAGATGCAGTTGTTCTTACTTAATGAAGTGTAAATGTATTACATTTTGTGGAATCATTACATAATGAGTTGTTATTTCATAGTATGTTGTAATTCATTTTGAAATTGATTAAACCTACTCAGCTGATTGGATTCATAAAGGGAGCTACTCACTAAAGTGAATATTTAGTTTTTGTCTTGTAAGCAACAAAAACAAATACTTAATACTTGCTCATGGGTGTCATGTGAGAGCAGCCTCTTTAACACCGAAGGCAGTGTTCAGTCTATTCATGTTGTTGTGCAAAATTTACACAAAATGAACATGACAAAACCATCCACCATAAAATCATTTATTTATTCGCCCTTTCTACAAAGTAATAACAAAATTTAAAGACTTTGTCATATGCACAAGGAAGAAGTTGCACTTCAAAATTAAACTCATTCTTTGTTGACAGTTATTATGTATTCAGATTGAAAAGGCACATAATGCAACTGGTATAACATGACAAACCATAGATGAGGCATGTCCAATAATTCATTATTTTGTCTCATCTCTGAACGTAGTGTTTATCAGCGACAAGAAAATGTAGCCTCTCTCCAGCTGTCCTTTTCCTTCACTCTCCCGCAGTCATTGTCCTACTGTCCCACAGTAAGTTCTTCCTGTGACTGCCCCCAACTTAAAAAACACAGAAAAAGTTCCCTTTTGGACACCCTTATGATAGATGAAACATGATAAAATGCCTTCTATGGTTCTTTACCAGTAGCCAATGTTAATATTAACCAGGGTTTGAAACCTGGTCACCATAAATGCATCACTTGCATGAATTTCTGCGTACTGGTGCTCTTTTCAGACAGCCCGAGTCTGCCACTGGTCAGTTCCTCTTTGACTTGTGTGACTTTGTGTTGTCAGTGTGTGTCTGCGCTGCTGACAGTTGTCTCCATGCGTCCAAAATGAGCGTTAGCGGTATGACGACCCACAGCACATTCATGAACACAAAGTAGAACCAGAAGTAGATTGGGTGTCCCAGCTCACTGTGAGCATAACCATCTCTGTGCTCCGTGTAGAAATAAAGCACTGCTCCATACAGCTGACCTGGAATCAGATTGTGTAAAAAGACCCATTGTGTAAATATGATAAAACAATAAGTAATTTGATTTGAGAAGTTGCTTAATTTAACTCTTACCTAATGAAATGATGAGTTGCAGAACAAATCTGTAGGGCTTGTTAGTTAAGAAGGCAAACACTGCCCAAAAGCTGAAAGGTCCCCATAACCACGCAGTCACAGTCTCCATACAGACTGTGAAGTTATCCGCTCTACAAAGAAAGAGAATATGCAGGGTACAATTAATTACCTTCTTTTTTTTATGCCAAAGTTCAACAAAGTTCTGCGTAAAGATGAACTCACATTACGTATCTGCTGTCTCCTTTGGAGTACTCTTTCCCTGAGGAAGAGAAGTATAACACATATAAACTGAAAGGGCACTTCAAGACTGCACCATCACACTTTATGCACTTTTAAACTAAACATGTTCTTGTACTCACAGAGCTGTGACAGGAAGCTCTGGTCTCCGGGAATAATATCATAATACAGTGAGAACCAGCCCTCAATGACACCATGGATGAAACCACACACAGCAAACCAGCACACGGCCAGACGCCTCCACGTCCCCAGCCTGCCGGTGGCCCCTTTCTGGCCGGTGATCAGCCAGGTCACAAGCAGAAACACCCCAGACACAGAAAACAGGAACACCAGAATCTCTGACATAGATCGGTCATTGGCAACATAGGTGGGAATCAAAAGGTCCCGTGGCCAGTAGGGATGAAGAACTCCAGTTGCTGATGTGGCATCCATCATCTGTTTCAAGAAAGGATGGTAAACACTCTTCAAAAACATCCACAACATGCTTAAAATGAATTTATTTCAGCAACAATGGGATATTAAAGATAATATGCATGTCAGTCTGAGAGAGACTATAAAAGGTTCAGATAAGAGTTTATTCAATGAGCTCAATAGAAGATAAAAGCAATAATAAATGTGTATTTTGTCCTTACCTACCAGAGTGAATGTCCAGCCTCACAGCGTTAATTAATGATATATAATTAAAAAAAATATGAATATCTTAGAGGTCCAGTTAAGCACTGCTTTCTAACTACATAGCCAGACAAACTCAAACGCGGAACTAACTAGAGTATGGGGCAGGTACTTGTGATCGCAACGACCAATCAGATGACCGTGTGCATAGACATAGCAACACTTGCGATCTGCTGGCCCGTTGATTGGCTCTTCATCTCGGAACATGGACGTTGTCGTTGACAACCACCAATGAAAACGCGTCTCTAATCCCCAACCACCGTCCCCTCTTTTCATGAGCACTGTTGTAAAATATTTCAACACTCGGTGAAGGGTGAATTACGGCTCTTTATGTGAAGATATTGCATTTGAAAATGAATTATTTTACTTGTTAGACTCTTTCTAACCTAGATCTTTCACTTTGATGTGGCTGTAGGAGACTACAGAGCACTATGCAGAAATGAATGAGAACAACATCACGCCGAGGTAATCTTTAAATATATATAATGGTACTGCAACGTAACCAAGAGATTTATAAAAAAAATATCAATGAAGGAAAAGACATTACATTGAAACTGCCTGTAAACAAACTTAACTGACATAGTCCGCGAACTAAATACACAGGCAATTCACCCATATGAAGGAAGTGCACATGAATAATTAAACGTGTGACTACAGGAATCGATAGTAAAAATTCAATAAATTCCCAGTTTTGACGCGACACTGTGGCAATGCTTTACTTCACAACCTTTGTGATAAAAAGGAAAAAGTTTTCCTCCCAAGCCGTGTCAGGGATTTAACCCTGCCGTGACCCGGATTCGAACCGGGGTTGCTGCGGCCACAACGCAGAGTACTAACCACTATACGATCACGGCGAGCTACTGGGAGTTATGCTTCCACCGAGTGCCGAAGCCTTTATGTAGCTATCGAGAGCTACGCGCTAGTTCAGAGGATGTCAGTGTTGGTCTACCGTCAGTGTTTAAAGTGGCGCTCATAGAGTCCTCGGGACGTCTTACCTTTATAACTTATAACAAATAGGTTAGCTACGTTAACTAATAGTTCGCTGATGGTCGAAATAATTGGCTAATATCAATATCAGACAGAGTTTCACAATATTTAACTGCTACATGCGATGTGCATTTAACATTAAATTTTAGCTAACCTTACATTAACAGTTAGTTAAATGTAAGCCAACTGTTGCACCATAGTTAGCGGTTACCAACGTAAGTAACAAAGCTAAACTGCGGCTGCGCATACCTTGCAACGTCACATCGTGTATCTAACGGTCCTGTAAGTTAACGTTAAAGAGAAGGTTCGTTCAGATGTCATTATATATTTACCTAACGTTAAGTAAACAAGTAAACAAAAACGTGAAGAGGAACGGCATTTCTAGACGAACTACAATGATGTAAAGGTGGAATATAATAGAAATAGGATACCCTGACATACGATACATATCCTTTAAGAAACTACACGTCATAAATATGAAAACCGGTCCCATATGGTCTAGCGGTTAGGATTCCTGGTTTTCACCCAGGCGGCCCGGGTTCGACTCCCGGTATGGGAACTGCTCTTTTGTTTATTTCTTTTTAATATAATTTCCCTAAATAAATGCAGATATTCCATCTGATTATTTTTTAATAAATTTAAAAGTCAGAAACAAAAATAACAGTGGAAACAATATAACCATGCAGGATGAACCGCTAGATTCATTAAAGATATACAGCTTGCTTTGCTTTGTTAGTATTTGTTGCCATGACAATACTCATAAATTAATAAAAAAAATATGCTACTCATACACGTTCAAAATTGCAATACAACAAAGAAACATGATTTTTGTGTTTTACATTATATATACTATTAATTGTTTTACTGCAATGACACGTGGTGTTAAACACGTGACGTCACGTGTCACACGATGCTACACGGAAGTATCAACCGTCTGTTGTACTGTTAATGGGTCGATGCAGTCTATTTTAACGTTGAATGGCTGATTTTTAGTAGAAACGACGGCGGTAAAGACTGTAGTATTTGAGCCAGTACAAAAAGAAGACATGGGTGTGTCAGAACTGGAGGAATCTTCTCAGCTACTGGACGAAAAGCTGCTCCGTTTCATGGACCAGCTGGAGTTACTGGAGGAGAAACGAGCCACTCTCAACTCTCTCATAGAGCAGGTAGCACAGAAAACCATGTAGAGTTTACCTATAACTTCTGTTTTTTGGATATGTTATTGTTTTTAATGTAAGGATTTAGTGGTTTCTGTAGTAGTAATCTGAATATCTTGCCTTGGTTTTGTTCTGTTGATGAGACAAAACAGGACATTTGACTGTCAGCTTGGGCTCTTGGAAATTGTAAGGGATTATTTTTCACTATCTTCTAACATTTTACAGACCAAACAATCGAGATAATTAATAACCAATGTCTAGTATACTCAATAAACATGAATGATTCTTCTTTCTTCCTCACAACCATCATTAACTCTGCCTAAAGTTATTTTTAAAATGTGTGTCCTCAGATGTGTGTGCACATCACACTCCCTATTATATGTTATATTTATGTTTGAAGCTTGTGTTTTATCCTGTGTCCTGTGAACCCACTTTAGCACCTATGTGTTATGTAAAGTTACCATTTTGTGTTCCCCACAGGGATGGTTTTCCTTGTCCAAGGCTCGATATTCCATGGGAAACAAACAAGTCTCTGCCCTTCAGTTTGCGAGCGAGATAGAGCCACTGGTCTGCGTTCATACTAGGTGAGGAACTAGACTAACCAACTTGTTGTCCAGTGGACTGTCAATTTTTGAAAGACTTTTTATAAGTTGGATTTATGTGTTACAGAATTCTTGACAGTGGTGAGGTGGATTTCTGCACAGAAAGAGTTAAACAAAAGTGTAATTATGAGGCTGGAACAGATGCAAGGTCAATAGAGGATATTGGACCTCAAGAAGAAGGTGAGCTTGCCATAGTCAATATGCTGTGTTAAAATGAATGTTGTTTACATTTACTATGAACTAATACATCTTTATTTATTACATTATGTGGTTTCATAGGTGTCAGGAGGAGAATCAAACCAAAAACGGATATCACAGAGAAAAAAGAAAGTGAAGAAGCAAGTAGTGAGAAAGCTCCTGAAGTAACTCCAGTAAGAAAATGTGACCAGAATCCTCAGCAAGATCCACTGAACTGGTTTGGGATTCTGGTGCCACAGTCTCTTAAACAAGCACAGTTGTCATTCAAGCAAGGTATGATATTACATTTCCAAAAGAGTATATACTTTGTTTTGGTTTTTATCTGTGAATACTTTAAGATATAACCGAGAATATGTCATACTTTTGATATGTATCTACATACTAGATACTGCTAAGAATAGATAGATAATTCAGCAGTTGTACACATTACATCCTATATTTAATCAATTTATCTTTCCTGATATTCTTAATGTGGCCCTGAGAGCTCATTGCAACTTAAGATAACACACACTGAAATTATAAAACATTTAACACATTTCAGAAAAATAAAACTCCAAAAATGTGAAACACCATTTTGAAAATACACATGCAGCTTAAAAAACTTTTAGAAATATACAGAAAACACAGTCAAATACAGGAACAAACCAGCCTTCTGACTACCTGTCAATAGTGTTGTAAAATAAGCTAACTGATACATGATTAAGATATTATTGCAGATATTTGCTATACACCTGGTGTTAACCTTACTAGCCTCCCAGTTCAAACAAACTGACGAAATACAAACAGTGTACGAGTTCAGCTGGGACGCAGGCTACCTTTATCACATTAAGTGATCAAGTAATGAACTCCATGAACCACAAACCATGGCAACTATTTGCATGTCTGAGTGTGTTCATTGGGTTTCAGTGTCCCCAGGAAACATTTTGTTATGTAACTCAGCTTTGTACGACTTAGTTGTGCTGTCTGTATATGGTTGTGTTTTCTCTATTGGCTTGTGTAGTCTGTTTTTGCAGCACATTTCGGTTATGCTATGTACTGTATATGTTATCAGATTAATGAAGATACTTTCTTTATTTGCAGTGGGTTGAGCTCTCAGGGCCACATTGGTTTCTTGTATTTGTTCAGCACATGGGATTTTATCTTTGTGTGTGTATATAGGTGCACATGTATACTCACAACAATAGCCATATGGATATATATAGCAATGCATAGAAACACAAATGCCATTATTTATTTATCAGCAAGAAACCCATCCTACATATGACATGACATCCTCGTCCTTCATCCTCTCTTTTTTCTGTCATATTACAGTAATAGAGCTGTCAGCTGAGATTGCAACCCTCCAGATTTCAGTGTTGAACACCAGACAGGAGCTGAAGCACGGCATGAAAGACAAACACATTCTCCAGGAGAAAGCCTCAGCAGCCCGGTCGGACAAGGTGGCAGACTAAATAACTCTTATCGAGTCAAAGCTGGAGATGACCTGAGATGAGCCCGTGGCCACAGAGAGTGACAGATTAGCGTCAGTAGATTATGTTTCAGGGCCAACTGAACTCAACAGTGATCCTCCTGGTGGAGTTTGCAGTGGAGATTACAGATGCAGCTGTTCATATTTGATTAATTGGTATCTAAATTATGTTTAATCTTGTGCCGTTTTGTCTGTCTAACTGATACATTTGTGGACTTTTTGAGATAGATGTGTTTGTGAATGGTGTCTTTGAGGCTTAATAAAGTGAATGTAGTAGACTGTATTATTTATAAATATAAACAGAACCTGTTTGAATCTTTTCAATTAATGATAAGTACCACTTTCCAATATGGCACCTATTTACAACACGTTTTTAAAGTTGCAATTAATAACTGAATTATAATTTATGAATCATAAGCCATTAATAAAAAACATTTGTAGGTTGTTTTCTTTAACTGGTGTTGATTCTTTTTATTTGGTGATAATGGAAACATAACTTTTGGCAATCCATTAATAAATGCTAAATAAGTTGTTAATAAGTATATTGTGGACCAGATCCTCTGCAGCCCTTTTCCAAAGTAAATTGTCAAACATATTGATTAGCATATCAATGATGATATGCTAAATAACAATAATGTAGGTTAAATGTTTTTTCTGCTCATATTTAGTTATTTCTGCCTGTTGATTTTATGCTCTGTTTATATTTTAT